AGTGAGAGAGATGAATGGTTCGTGGTCGTACGTTCCTTAATTCTCTTCGTTCACATCACGAAATAACTTACTTCGTTTCTTCAATGAACGGAGTGAATGAAACAAAGGAAAGAAACAAGTAAGAGAGGAATGAAACAAAGAGAACTCCACGAACCCCCTTTAACATTAGAAGATTGCCCATCACAAGTAAACCACTAGCTAATAGGAGGATGTCTACAGGAATATTTTGCAAGCCTAGACCCTGAACAAACCAAGAGGCACAAGTAGCCATCAAATCCTGGCCACGCCAGCAAGTAATTGCCCGAAAGACTTCACTTGCACACTTTACACAGGACGAAGAATCCCAAAGAGGTCCCACAAAGACTTCTATCCTCTTAACACCGCCTCCTGCTGGATTCCATGCTGCATGCAAGGTGGAGGAGAGCCCCGAAGTTGAACCAAAATGTGGCCCAAGGAACTTGTCCAGGTTGTCCATGGGCGAGCCCTCAAAAGGCATGCTGAAGGTCAGGGCTAGTTGTTTACGAAAGATCTCGATTGCACAACATCTGGCATCAAGAGGGTCCCCCATATATGCCGCGCACCAAAACTGTCTGTTCGCATAGTAAAAACCGCCCCAAAAAGGGATTTCTAATGTATGGGCACACTCAATCTTCCAACTTAAAGATCCGCCAGACCTGGGTGTCAAAATGAAGCTACTTACGTCCGGAAAGCCTTAACCGAGCGCCCTAAACCCTCTAAGCCTTGGATCTGAACAAACCCTATATCCCAGATCTCTGAACAAAATCAGTGAGGTCCAAACCTCCCTGAAATCTCAACCCGCAACTCTGGATCCCTAAGCTCGCCCGGTCCTAACTACATGAGTCCCGGAGCACTATGCCCTCTGCTAAGCCCTTCCTCACCTCCACCCAGACACGCCGTGGCACTCGACGAGGCGGAGGCGGCGCCTGCATTGCCGCCGGGTCATGTAGGACCAAAGGTACCTTCTTGAAACTTTAGTTCGTGCAGGGAAACTCGGGAAGTAGACATCAGGCACTAGTATGCTCAGTCTTCTTGGCCCCTTTGTTTGTCGCTCTTCTCGGCTGTCTGCACACTGTCAAGCCCTGACATTGGAGTGGGTCTTCTTCGTCGAGTAGATGTCAACAACTCCACTCGCATAAAGGAGCCCAGATCAGGCTTGAGTAAAGCTGTGATGGTCCATGCGGGGAAATCCTGGAATATGGAGAAGTTTCTGCATATACAAGATCAAACTCCCACTTGTGTCCCACCAAACGGCCTCATAGATGCATGCACAAAAACCCAGATAGATCCTCATACTGCATGCCATCCCCAAATTCACGATGAGTACGCCCACACGAAAAGATCTCAAGAGAGATGTCTTGACAATTTAGGACTGACGTGGGGCGGTGAGTGAGGCACGTCTGGCCCCTTTAACCACAGAAGCATATATAACCCTTAGTAGATTCCATTTTCTTTTCCATTATCCCAATATTACCCAGCATTATATGTAACCCCAATATAACCCCAATATAACCCCAATATAACCCTAATATAACCCCAATATAGCCCTAATATAACCCCAATATAGCCCCAATATAACCCCAATTTAGCCCTAATATAACCCCAATATACCCCTAATACTATCTGATCTCCTCCCTGTCGGTCGGCCTGGAGCCCCAAGGAGTGCACCCGGCGCGCGGCAATAGGTCTGGCCTTAGCTGGAGGGGAGGTTTAGGGGTTTAGGATATATTATAACAATGTATGTTTGGGGTTATATAGGGATAATGGAGAAGAAAATGGAAACTACTATTTAGGGTCTAGGGTTGGGTGTGGGTTTGATTGGGGTTTCTGAACAGGGCATCCCAATTCTGTTGTTGTAGAATCATGCACCGTGCGAAGCGCTGAACCTTCTGTCTCTTTAGGGCGTGAGCCAGAAAGAGAGTTCCTAAGTAAGTCTGACAAAATTGAAATCAGAATGTTGAACATAACAATAACGACCCCAAAGCTCGACTAGAGTGTCGGCAGCGCTGAATTCAAGCAGGAGGGCCGCAACCGCTGCTCCCGAAATTATGATCGGACTGGCCATGGCTGTTTCTGCGCGTAGCAAATTACACGCAACAGCCTATGACTTGCCTTTGGTTAGCTGGGAATGCAGGACTGCAAGAGAAAATGGAAACTACTACAATGGGTTATAGGTAAACTGATTCAGGTTGCCAGGAAGTTTCGACCTAGCTGGTGAGCAATGTCTGGTTCCGACATCTATGCACTACTATGCACTTCCAAAGAAGTTCGGCAAAACAGCTCATACCTGATCTGTTTCCGTGCATTCGTTCAAGACGTCTGAAAGCTTTGAAGCTCCGGCTTCGGGTGTGGTGAAATTGCTTGCCACTGTGAGGTTGCCTTCTGCATTCCTCAAGGAAATGTGGCGGCGGTGCACTCAAGGCCCTAGAAGGGCATGGATCTTCTAAGCTGCTGATATGAAATGGCTCCAAGCGTTGCTTGAGAGAAGGCGCGGCATATGCATACTTCTGCAAAGGGATGCTCTTCTGCTGCAGCAACAGCTCCTATGGTTTGGCACATGGATGCTGGATGCATCATAACGTTATGGGTGTGTCTTGGGGATGCTGTAACGCAGGATCCTGCTCAGCGCGTGTTAGCTGGAAGCAGATTGATCACGCACGGAGCCATCTGGCATCCAACGTCCACAATAACACCTCATGAAGTGGGGTAGCCTTTTTGCTGAGGTGGTCATCCCAGGCCTAGGCTATCCCCTCAAGTTTCAGCAAACCTTTCATGGAAATGACGGCCACTTCTCCGGCTGAAGTTTGGTGAGATGAAGCCGGCAGGTGAGCCAACAGATGCTACATAGCACACATCAGAATTGCTTAAGGTCAAGAAGCCTGTATGATTTTGCGTAGTTGCATCATTTCTCGTGTGGGCACCGTTGCCTTTTTCTTTAATATTACACGGAGGCCGTGACGTCTATGCCAATGTCAGCAACTGCGCGAAACCACTCATCCGTTTGATGCTAAGATTACAGCACTATCAAAAAGACAGACTGTGACCATTCACTTGAATCTTTCTGAAAGAAGGCCCTAGCAGGAATACAGTGCCTTTTTGTTCCTGCGTAACCCGAAAGGGAAGGTGCCTCCACAGAGAAGTCGGCAAGATCGCGCCGGGACTGGCTATTACTGCCTGCGCTGTTCCTAAACTGCCAGGACTGTTAAGATGCGGGGTGCCTACTTTGAATGCGGAACTTTTTGCACGCACCACCGCATAGATCGTAGCCCTCATGAACTACAATGCAAAGAGAGTCCTAGGGTGGCAAATTTGCCTTCATCCACCATATGATGCTAACCGCATATAGCCTAGCAGTTTCAGGCGGGCCTGCCCTATAATAGCACGAGTAGTAGTAACAGTAATGGTAATGGCCCAAGTAATAGAAATACCTGCAATCGTAGTCTTACCCTGAAGTGACTCAAGTGCCTTTCAAAATGGGCGAAGTGCCAGGTACCTTTAGCTTTGGGATAGACGGGCAGTTTCAGGGCATCATGAGGGTCGCCTGTTGGGTTTATGTAGTCGCTCTTCTTAAGGAGGCCGGCTGCTTGCATCTGGGATGTGGTATACTCAACTTGGGGTATGCCTCAGGATATACACAGGTGTATGGGGATGCAGGCATGCATTTGTTGCGTACACTCACCCTCACTCCTTACACCGAAATCTCCCAACTCGCCCACAGAGCTGAAAGCTGCAAACCTCGAGTTCCAAAATTCGCAACCCAACACCCTAAGCTCTGACAGCCAGTAAATAAAGCCTTGGACCGGAACCATAATCTGCAAAAACCCTGAAGCCTGAAAGCCTGAAAGCCTCAACCATTTCTTCGAGCCGGACCCTCGCTGTCTGGATCTGGAATCTCCAGAAGACCTTGAGGCTGCCGGCTTGAAGGCAAAGGAAAAGGAATTGTGTTATATATTAGGGTTATATATGGATAATGGAAAAGAAAATGGAAACTACTACAATGGGTTATATATTAGGGTTATATATGGATAATGGAAAAGAAAATGGAAACTACTACAATGGGTTACGTATTAGGGTTAGTAGATGACATAAAACAAGAGCAGTGCAAATGGCAATGCTCATTACTGAGTAGAATGATTGTAATGATGAGAACATGAGAGAGCAGTAATTCTGCACATCAGCTTCCGCCTTTAGAACTTTCATGGGAGCATTCCTGTCCATGTAATGTAACCCCCTCCTCCTTACAACAAACCTCCACTCCCCCTAATAATCCGTACTTCTCCCATTACATTATGACACTATATTCGGGGGGAAGTAATTATCATTTGGGGGCTGGGTGGAATTACTGCCAGCGGGAGGCAATGGCCATTAGTTCGGGCGAGGTGCGGGCAGAGCAGCTCTGCAATCTGATCAGATTATAACTACGAAGCACTTAGGACCCCTACTAAGGGCTAACACTTAGGTACGTATAATCGGAGCATAAGGGAAACCCAAAGGGTTAAGGGTCCAAGGTCCAAGCTAAGTCCCAAGGAGATAAGTGCTGCTGTGCTGCTGTCATGTTCTGCTTGAGGCTTCATGGGTAATCATGAGTATGCTCTTACGTAAGTGCCCCAAGGTGGGTTATCAGTTATACGTGTTGTAATACCACTCATAACCTCACTTCTCACTACCCATGCACCTGCATTTTGATGAAGCCCAAATTCAACAACTAATCCGTATCCCGAGGCAAAGCGTGAAGCAAAAGACAAATACCATGACGGAAAGTCTCTTGAGCCCTTGTCTTTGTCAGCATGGAGCCCCACTGCTTCCTACGGGGGCAGCCTGGTTGGTTCACAGGGATTTCAAATGGCTTGAGCATTGCCATTCGCACTCGCTACAGAGATATGGGGTTTGGCCCAACTGTTGACCTCGCACCCCGAATCCTAAGGCCTGCATCAAACAGCACCAAGTCATGTGGCTTTCAACCATCAAAATCCTGAAGGCCTAAACTTCCATAAGGACGCGTTTAAACCTTCTTTCTTCTTTCTCTTCAGCAAAGCCGCTACCCAGAAGGGCTTGCTGCTCGCTAAGTGCCTTCAACTTGAGAAGGACTTTTCGGAAAATGAAATGGATACAAGGTTAAGGATATCAATGTATACCGAGTTTACGGATTTCCGGAACACTCGCGGAGTGTAGGGGTTCAGGGCTCAGGGCTTCAGGGCTTACCGGGGTCCAGGGTTTCGGAACAGATGGCTGTTCATGATAAGAAGACGGCTTTCGTGGCAAATAGAGCATGTGATTTCAGGGATGTAATGCTTCGAGGCGCTCAACTGACAAAGGGCTACGCGCGCTTTCAAGGATTCTCGCGCAGATTCACTGCCGATTGATTCCTCACGATCCAGGGGGCGAAACCTCCGGGCTCAACTCTACACGCTACAAGATGTACGGTCCCTCTCAACAGCAGAAAGCACGCAGCAGAACCTGAACAAGTGTTCAAACGAAAGGCTGCTGTTGAATCACCAGTTCTTCGCAGGCCACAGACCGCAAACGCTCAACCACACCTATTTTCCGCAACCCCACCCTCCAACCTATAAACAAGCTCTAAAAAATGCCTCCAAGAATGCCTGACAAGTCTTGGCCAACGCCCTGCCGTCTTAAGTAGCAACAATGGCGGCAATGACAGGATGTGTACTAATGCTAAGCACTGAACTGGAAGATTTATCATAATGTGCAAGAACACTGAAAAAACTTATCAGCAGCCACGACGATTACGACAGAGCTAGCACTCCAAACAAGAACAGGATGAGGAACGAGCAGTAACAGCAGTAGTGGTCTCTGGCCCTCTTGCCTCCATCTCTGAAGCCCCGAAGCCGAGGAGCTCCTGCATGAAGGGTTGAGCTGCTTTCTCAAGGGCTACAGAGCCGAGGACACTCGCAACCAATAATCGATGGGTTACCTGAAGTCTACATGAGGAGCATGTTCTGACGGATGCGTTGCGCGAGGTTGCCAAGTTCTGCGAAATCAATAAATAAATAGTTCAGATACAAGCCGTCAGCTTGAGAAGATGCCCTTTTCCACTCCTTGGGATTTGGGCGCACACGGAGGGCGATGATGCGACGATAACAAAGATTGCATTTTCGGACCCTTCCAGCAAGGATGACGCTCTGCGGATTTACGTGACAAAGCCCCGAGTTCGACCTATTGCCAGATGGTCGTTTTGCATCACTCCATGCGCTCGATAAGGGCGTAGGTGTTCTGATCTTTCACGGGAGGCCTACATCCTGGTTCTGCATCTGGTAGCTCAAGCCCAATCTCTAGCAAACACTGCGTAGAACCTTACCTGAGACCCCCTACACTAAATAGCACAAGGCCTAAGCATCAGTCGCATACTTGTCGGGACAGGCACCGCAGCATTTCTGATCATTGTTTGCAGTCTTGCCTTTGCCATCAGCACAAAAATTGCTTTCAGCACTGCCACTCAGACTACATGGTGGTAGCGGCCTTGCTTCTACCCTCGCCTGCGCGCTGTGATATTGCTGCGGAATTAGTTGCTAAGTTGCTACTTGTACAGTTGCCTACTATGCCTCACCGATGCAGCAGCGCCTCTTCCAGCCAGGAGTCGTCGAGCTCACGCTCGGGATCCTAGGCAACAGTACAAAACGCGGATTCTGTCGCGTTGACTCCAGGACTACATGTGTCTGTGCCGAGAGAGAGAGAGAGAGAGAGAGAGAGAGAGACGGAAGGGGAGAGAGAGAGAGAGAGATGAATACAGAGAGAGAAGGAGAGGGAGAGGGGAAGAAAATAATACGGCAAGTATACAAGCACTTGCGTTATGACTCTAGTACTCGATACGGGCTACACACGGTGCATACGCTTTGCGACGACAGCCTAGCAATACCACCTGATGATCAGGACAGCTGCAACCTGAATTTGGATGGACGCTAGGTTCCCCTGGTCTGACTGCTTAAGATCAACTTCCCAATGCTCTGAGTCCCCGAGTCCACAGCCCTGAAAGCATTTAGAAGCTATCTCAAAAAAACTCGTTTTGGGTTCAAGGTTTTAGGCAGGGTATGGGTGCGTGTGCAAGGATCCTGGGATCCTGAACCGGATTGATGAATGCCAAAGCTCAAAAGCCCGGCCGGCCTCATGCACGATGGCCTCGCCATGGAAGACCATCCCAGCATCCTGACATCTCGCAGCGGTCGCACTTTGGGGCTTAGGGTCTTCCAGGCAATCGCGTAGAGCTGATGGCAAGGCTCATTCTGACATGGTGACGTTCACAAAGGACGGTTTTGGGCTCTGCGACGGGTGTTCCATACATGGTGCCCGTCCTGAGAGAGCATGACGATGCATCCATTAGACTCATTAGACTGAGCTGTGAGTGGACTTTCAAGTCATGGCTTGACTGGGTCCCCAAAAGTAGTTACCAGACGCCACTTTTCGAAACCTGAAGAGGATGCTTCCAATCCCGACACTGGAGGTTGGAACCGCGCCCTGAAGTCACTCAAATTCCTGTATTCTGCTCCTCTGTCCCTGAAGGGTCCTCTAGGATGCCATCCATGAGGCATTCCTGCACAGCTTTCCAGAAAAAGTTAGGCAGGTGTGAGGAGTTTTGATGTTCAAGCTGGTTGAGATTCGACAGCCTTGCTTTAGGGCTTGGGGTTCAGGCAGGACTCTGGACTGATAAGCTACTAGCCCGTTCCTCTCAGGTGACAGGGTTCCTGGCTTGATTTCATGGCACAACAAGTGTGCTACATGCTTCCGGGCAAGCTCCGATTTTAAGAAGTCACGGAAAGCATTACAGGCCATACGGAACCCTCTCAAACGTTTATGGCCTCAAAAATCTTAAGGCCCAAATTCCCCGTAAACATCCAACCCCTGAACAGCAAGCCCCGTTATCCTCTTCACCGCTGCTTGGGCTACCCGGCACCGCCCCTGGCAGCGCTCCAGCATTCCTGGCCTTGAAAACCACAGAGCAAAGCAGAGAGAAGCCATAGCCTTCTAAGATTCTAGCTTCCATCATATCATGCCACAAGAAGCCTATGAACAACAGTATCGTCTAACCACTTCGTGGCGGAAAGCTACAGTACAAGGCAAGAAGGTTACAAGGCGATTGCTCTCGGCATGCCAGAGGATGAGACCTAAGAGGCAAGTCGCAAAAAACAAGCACCCTCATACGTTGTCATACGTTGTTGTTGGGCGTGCCGCGGGCTCAGCCCTCCGTTGGATGGGGCCTTGGTTGAAGGCCTGACTACTGGTAGCTCGATGGGTTTAGGGTGAATGTCCTCGTGTCAACAGGGGGGCAAGGGCCAAAAGATCACTAGAAACAGCGTGGCCCTCTCAGTGGTGTTGCAGCTCCAAGCATTCAGAGCCAGCTGGATGTTACCAAAACTAAACGCATGGATTCCATAGCACTCTATGTCGAACTATATGAACCTTCTCACCTTGACCCAACACGGGTTAAGGGGTACAATTTGGTGCGCGAAGGTTGGTGCTTGACTGTGGCACTGACAGATACGAAATGTCCTACTTGCGGCACATGCTCGCCAATTTTCAGTGAATTTTACATACTTGGTGGCTCTAGCAGGGTCGGCTCTGAACTTGCTTGGCGGACTGTTTTCGGCGCATGACGTAAACACTACAAGCTCATTGTGTCTGGCAACTATTGCCTGGGGGGGCCGAGTTGAAGCCCGGCCGCTATGCGTTGGGGCCGCTCATGCCCTCACTGCAAGCATGTTGCTATGTTCTCAAGGATCAGGCTCGACTGTTGACTGTACCCACGCGCTCCACGCAAGGAAGGAAAACGTAAGGCCCCACAGCTTTTGCCAAGAATGTTCCACTGCGTCTGTTGCCTTAAATGAGGGGAAGCTTACCATAAGTGTACCACAAGTGGCACTGATTTTTTAAAGCACCATGAGGCAGTGCTATCGAATCTGTATGATTTCGCTATTTGATCCGCAGAGTCCCTGGAGCGCTCCCGCATTATCCCTATCTAATGGTCTCTGACTTCTGCTGGCCATCTAGGGCATCTGCGCCTATGGTCGAGCCATCATAGCCGGTGGCCCACGCCGCAGGCAGACGGGATGGGAGACTCTGCAATCCCTGACAGCCACCGAATCCCGCTCGTTGTCATGTATCTGCGTGCTTGGCACTCCGCCACGTGAGCTCATCAGTCCGACAAATGGGCAGGCGTACACGTTGAAGGTTGCGTCAGGAGCTTTGCTGTGGGCTCTTGGCAGGAAAAGCATGCTGAGGCAATTACATCAAGTGATATCAAGTGCTATGACTCGTATCTCAAAACCTCGGCTTAAAATCTCAGCCTAAAAACTAGATAAGCCGTGTTGGACGCGGACCTAGACAAGTATGGTCAGGTTGGGCCCTTCATGCCCTGAACCCTGGACTGCCCAAAGCTTCTTACATCCTGTAAGGGGTCTTGCTATGGCGGAAACGGATTTGTGCAAGCTTTTTAACGGTCCTGGAGACAAGGTCTGATCAGTTGCATAGTAGATGATAGTGGGATTTCTTATGCATTTCATGCATCTGCAACCGTCCACTTCAACACATGGAAATGGCTGCCAGTCTACGTATGGCAGTACTCAAGTACCATCACTGAAAAAAAAGAGTAACAAGCCAAAGATGGTGGAATGATCTTCCTACGTAGCTTCGCCAATCCATATGAACTTCGACTGGTGCTGCTGCGTCGCCGGGCGCCAAAAACCGCAAGCGGCCGTACAGAGCTCGAACAAGCTACTGTAAGGCGATGTCTTGCGTCCAATTGGAAGGTCTCCGGAAGCTTTAACTCTGTGACAGATTACAATTCAATTGATGAATACCGCGCGTAACGAAGGTTTTCAACGATACTTAGGCGGACTGCTACCGTCAGGCCATCAGGCAATTAGCTGTCAGCTGATCACCCCGATAGCCCAAATCTGTATATCAGATGGCCGCTCAGCCAATTGCTATCATCTTAGAAGCGCTGCATGATCAGCATAGTGTTTATTAGCCAGCCAATTACCCAATCACATCACTGACGGATCTCTTGAAGTTGATGTGCAGCTAAGAGATGAGTTTGCGGCCGCAGTAGAATACTTCAATTTGCTTCTATGGCACTGATTTCACCCTACTGGAATTGCCCGATGCCTAAATAAGATGGTAATGAGTCCTTGTGATGCAACTCAAGCCTAAAGCCCCTTTTCAACAAAACCCTAGACGCTACAGTGCGTTAAGCTAGCAAGATTTTGTGCCACAACAATGGGTTGGGGGGTCCTATTGGAGGTGTTAGCGGAATTCCAGGACTCTAACTTCACGGGCAAGGGGTATGGACTGGAGAGTCGGCCGCTATTGAAGAACACTTGTCCCTTTTCATTCCAGGTGACAATCTGGGCACACATATCCCCCCGCAGATGAACTCTCTGGAGAGCCGGCAGGCTCTTGACCAGACCTTAGGTTCCTGCCAGCTTCAGATAGTCTATGAACAGAAAACGGTGACTTTGAGAGGGGCATATTTGCATATAATCTGCAATAGTAACACCACTCGATGTACTACTACCAAGAACAGCAGCACTGGTATTAGCATTGCTCCGCAGATCCTGTCCATGGCCAGAAACCATCGACGCTGGAAATGGCATCTGTGCCTGAAGGACCGTATGAACTGTAGAAAGCTTTACGGACGGTACATGGGCGCGAGGAAATGTATGCGCAACTCATAGGAGCAGGAAGAAATCCGTCACAAGAACTTGTAGCCTGCGTGCAAGACGCCAACTGAGAGACAACTCGACTGCACAGCCAAACCTGTCAGATTAGTTGATCCCCTGAGGAGTGCTCAAGACTACAGAGGTGCACTCATTATCCCAACTTGCAGGGTTTAGGGTTTGGAGTATGCAGCACAGCACCAGGCAGAGTCCTGTCAAATACTATGATTCTGGCAATGTCAGGCTATAGCACTCTCTTCTCAGGTCCATGTGGTCCTCAAGGTACACCATTTTCAAACTCGAGACAAGGTAAGCTGTAGAGACCAAGCCTTTCTACGACCTTGGCCCAGGTCAGCGGACGGGTGCTCAATGAACCGAATTGTGTTGTTGGGAGGGGGTAGACTGCAACAGAAGCAGACCGGGGTAGACTGGAACAGAAGCAGACGTGGCTTTCGAGAGCCTCACACTTGTAACTGACAATCACTCGGGCTCTCCCAGTAGTGTATCTTTCTAAGCCACGCTCCAATCATAAGGCCATCCTCACAATGAGCCCCACGTTACTACTTCTTTTGCCTAGCACGCGTGAATATGTTGTATACCAGCTAATGCTATGAGTGGCCTCAGAATATCGAGATCTTCTGGCCTTTCGTGCTGAGAACACCGTCGCACTTGAAAAAAATCATGCATGCCTACAGCTCCAGGCTCCTGTACGCGCATATATAGCTCAAGAGATAGGGTTCGTTGCTCACACGGGCTTAGGAACGCGCACAGGTTGAAGTTTGCCCCAAAGGGCTTAGCATCCAAGGGCTATGAGGATTGCATGCGCTTCTGCTGCCAAGGTGACTATGGGGTGTTGGACCTCGCGTCAAAGATGGTAGTGAAAACTGATACGATTTGGGGTGTCTTGAGGCCTTGAAAACTCCAGCAAGGTCGCGTCAGCCATGATCTCAGGAATCATGCGTCTGCCTCGACACTTTAGAAAACCAAACACAGCTGTTGAGGTGCGGGGGATTGCTGCTAGAAGCCATGATTGCCAGTTGGCTATCAGCTTTGCTATTTCACTTTTGGCATTGCCATTCTTCTGACGGTTACTACCATACGCTGCAGAGGCACCTGGATCTGGGTTTCAGCTCTGCATTTGCACTGAATTCACCAGAGAGCCCAACATATGAGCCCCATAGTGCCTCAATTGAGGGACATTGGGCGAGTGCTAGCCTCTCTGGGTGCTAGAAGTGACAACTTCAGCCCCCATCTCCTTAGGGTTGGTCCACCCGCAAGACTTGTGTTTGTAGAAGGAGAATGCCCGACAGCGAATGTCCGAATCCAGAATTCCTAAGTGATATAGAGAATATATCTAATAGTAGGACCATGAGTTGCTAGCATGGGTAAACTGGAAACTACCTGCTAAGCGGTCCATTCAGGATCGGGCCCCTCCTCAACAGAGAGCCTTGGAAGACGCCACTGACACGAGAGCCTTTTCGTGCCCGGGTCTCATCGAGAAACATTCACTTGCTTACACAAGCATCTGAAAGCTGAAGAGGCGTTCCCTGCACGTTACCTTCCCTTTGGAAGTAAGCCTTTTTGAGGTCCAGTTTAACTTAAGCGAGGGTAGGTGGGTGTGATACGTACGCAGGATTCCTGAATCCTACAACCTCAACCAGTAATCCTGAATCCCAGACTGCTACACCCTCACACCTAACAAACCGCAGCTCTGAGGACACCCTGGCAAGCCAGGCTGTGGAACATTCCCACACCTGACAAGCTTGATCCTCCTGGGTGTCTCCAGGATTTTGGAAGACGCCCCAAGGAAGAGCGCATGTTCAACGATGCGTCCAGGTATCAGGGCACAACGCACTGTTTTCCTTGATTGCTGCTGCTGAGGTGAACGTCTTCGGAATCCTTAATCCGAGCTGGAAATACAGCACCAGAGTATGGTGGAAGAGGACTAAGTACATCCTGAGCCACAAACCCCTACACTATCCCAGACCCTTAATCGCGTTGCTGCCCCAGGGATCCATTTGTAGACGGGTCAGGATCTGTCTCGCAGCCTGCAGCCGCTTTTGATGATGGTATGTCGTGCTTTCTCAAATCAAGAAAAGTAACCCTCCCGCGCTCTTCACACTTAAACATGTATGGGCATCATCCGTGCTGCAGGCAAGTGAACATAAAGATTAGGGCCATATCCACAGATCTAGGTTATCTGTAGACCCCGCAAAATCACACCTCGACCCCCCCCCCGAGCCACGACAAATTGCCTGCATAAACTGCGTGAAAAACTCTTGGTGTGGCAGGGTGCCCTGACACTGGAGGACGCTGCGATGCACGTAGCCGC